GGCTGCCTTAATCTTCCCTCTGCTAAGACCAGAGTGATTTCAGGCAAGGAAAGCAACTGGGACCCTGAAAACCATCCCTCCGTAGTCCGCCTCCCCATCTGTGCCCGAGTCCCTTTGCTTCCACGTGGATGCCATTGTGATTGCTGCTTGTATATTATTAAAATGTTTTTATATTAAAAATGTTTGGTTGGTCTGAAAATTAAAAGGACTTCATTTTGGAAAAAAAATTTAAAAACATCTGAGGATGTTTCTGTAACATCTTTCTGGTGAACCACAGAAGGCATGGTACTGAGGAGACCCCTGATGCAAAGGAAATAGACTGCAGCACTGATTGGCGGACTTTGGGTAAGTGGGGTGCATATACCTGGGTAAAGAATGGGATTGGGTTAGAGGCTCAATTTAAAGGAGTTAGAGTCTCTCCTAAGGCATAGTGGGTTGGAGCCCCCTCTTAATAAAAGACAAGAACGCTTGACCAGCTGGGTTAGAGACCCGACTTACGAGGGTTAGAGTCCCTTCTAAGATTTAGGGGGTTAGAGGTCCCTGTCGGTAAAGTCCCTCTTGGTAAGGTCCTTTGTGGCTAAGAACGAATTTAGCACTATGGGATATTAACTGCTATTCTCTTTGAAATAATCTGCTTTGCACTCTTTGCTGGAAGAGTAATACAAAAGGGGTAACACAAAAATCTGGATCAATATTTAAATTCTGAGCACATATTGGAATTGGCTAACAACCCTATATCAGCTTGGTTTTAACAGTTGCCCAGTTCATGGAAAGCCTTCTAATTTAGTTTACTTGGGATAATTTTAGTTATTTTGCTTTACTGTTGTGGAATATATTGCTGTTTTACTCTTTGTGTAGGAATGCAGGATAAGCTTACTGAATGTTTTCTTAAACTGAACATTTACTAATCTTCCAGATATCAACTTTTGTCAGAACTCAAGAGTAATGAATGGCCCTCAGCATACTGATGCTTTCTGACTGAGCTCCTCCCTGCACTGAATACAAGAGACCCTAATAGTTAGGCAGGAATATCATCACCCCTATTCAGCCTGAAGAAGTTACAGAAAACGGATCTTCATCCCTTTGAAACCCTTAGGATTAAGGGTTCTCTTATAAAAGGGAGGGGCGAAATGTCAGAGGCGTGTGAAGCATAGCAGCTGCATCTTGAATAGGAGGTGGGTAAAATGAGGCTGGGACCTACTGGGCTGCATTCCCAGATGGTTAAGGCATTCTAAGTCACAGGATGAGATAGGAGGTCAGCACAAGATACAGGTCATAAAGACCTTGCTCATAAAACAGGCTGCAGTAAAGAATCTGGCCCAAACCCACCAAAACTGAGATGGTAACAAGAGTGACCCCTGGTCATCCTCCCACCAGCACCATGACAGTTTTGAAATGCTATGGCAAAGTCAGGAAATTACTCCATGTGGTCTAAAAGGAGGAGGCATGAATAATCCACCCCTTGTTCGGTATATAATCAAGAAGTAACCATAAAAGTGGCCAAGCAGCAGCCCTTGGGGCTGCTCTGTCTATGGAGTAGCCATTCTTTATTCCTTTACTTTTTTAGTAAACTTACTTTCACTTTACTGTGTGGACCTGCCCTGGATTCTTTCTTGTGTGAGATCCAACCCCTTTCCTGTAACACAGTCACTGTTAGCACGGCTTGTCAAAGATTCCTGTCCCACAGTTGAGGTGCCCCTGTTTATTGACTGTGTGAGTGAGCTGGTTATTCAGTCATTGTCTCTCTGATGAACACTTCTTTACCTTGGTTTGAGTGGAGATTCTGAAACTCACTTTGTCTTTGCTGGCTGGTTCCCTGTTGGACTCTCAATAGGGGCACTAGAGGGAGACTGGGAGGCTGGAGGAGGAAGACAGGCCACGCTCACTGATTCCTGTTTCATCCCCTTCCGTTGTGAGTAGCCTCAGTGATGCTTTTCACGGGCAACAGTGACTGGTTCCAGTTTGCAGTTTTCCCCACTCTCAGAAGTAGTCTCATTGGGCGTCCTCAGAGATATCAGCACCAGGGTCACACTATCCTCAGAGATCTGTGTTCCAGTTCCATGTGGGCCCCTCCTCTGAGCCAGAAAAGAAAATATTGTATATGCAATCTCACTGTTAAAAAATGTTACACATATATTCTAGCTAGGTTAGATTAACCAATCTTTATTAAGGAAGAAACTGCTAATTTACCCCATAGTGAAGATTGAGACCTACTGACTTGGGGCAGTGACTTATTAAAGACAAAACAAAACAGAATAATATTGGTATTATTTCATTAATTGTATCAATTTTGAAACTGTATTAATTTCATAATAGCTCTGAAGATAGAGTTTGACAAATACAAAAAGGTTCATGGTACCCAAAGACTAAATCTTCCTGGTGGTAGAGGCCACCCTATGAGCAAGCATGGAAATGGGACATGTGACCTAGCCTTAGTAAAATTAACAGGAACCATAGGTCACAAATCACAATGCTCTATGACAAGCCTTAAGAAATAATATCTTGTTGGGAGCAGTAGCTTGAGAATTTAAAGAGACCCTAGTAGTTAGGCAGGAATATCGTCATGCCTATTCAGCCTGAAAAAGTTACTGGTTGGGTCATTAAACTCCTCAGAAAAATAAAGTGGTAAGGATTAGAGAATGCTGCCATGCACTGCACGAGGATGTTTTGGTCCATAACAGACCGCATATACGGTGGTGGTCCCATAAGATTATAATGTCATAATACCGTATTGCTACTATGCCTCTTCTATGTTTAGATACACAAATACTTGCCATTGTGTTACAATTGCCTACAGTATTGAGGACTGTAACATACTGTGCAGGCTTGCAGCCTAGGAACATGCTTTACTTTAATTTATGTTCAAGTATCATTCTCCCTTAGATTTTGTGAGGTTGAAAGGTAATTGTTTAAACTGGATGTGAATGGAGAGGGGGCCTCTGGAGAGCAAAGTGCCCTCTGTTCCCCTTCCTAATGTTAATAGTCTATACCATACAGCCTAGGTGTACAGTAGGCTGTGCCATCTAGGTTTGTGTAAGTGCACTCTATGATGTTCCCACAACACAAAATCACCTAACCACACATTTCTCAGAATGTATCTGTCATTAAGTGACACATGACTATTTACACTGTTGACCTCAAGTACAGAAATAGATCAGACAAGTGGAGAAAGACTTCATTCTACTTCATTCTAATTTAAATGCAGGTGCTGTCTGTAGTTAGGAAAATGTGAAGGAGCAATCAGCCTCCGGTGATATTCAAGTCTAATTAGAAATTCTTCTTGGACTGTTTAGTTCAAAGCTCCCTCTTAATCTTCCAGGAACTTAATCCTCCACACAAAGTATATGAAGACACAAAAATGTACAAAGTATGTATTTCTACATTATGTAGAAAGTATGTATAGCTATTATTTAAGTGTGGAATATTAATTTTGTTGTAAGAAGAGGGATTTATTCACTGAAATGAACTGTATGAATCTGACTTATCGCCACAGAAGTCACACAGGCTCTTCTCTGAGTCAGAAAATGTTAAGACCTTTCTGTCTATTTTTCCTTTTTAGGGACTGCTTGACTACAGCAAAAGGAGGGGCCAGCAGATTTCAGTTCAAGCATGTTTGAAGTCTGTTTTCCGACATTATCTGTGAAACAAAAAATAAACATAGTAAAATCTCCACTACAAATGATCTCTATAAAGTGTAATAACATGATTTAAGTTTATTTCTTATTTTCTATATTTTATAAATTGCTACATTGAACAGTTTTAATTAAAAAAATTAAAGTTAACCTTGAAAATTTTTTTGGTTGTTGTTTTAATTTGCAGATATGATAGTACATTTTAGTTGTTCCTATACTTTAGTAGCAATCAATTTGGGTGTAAAATATTAGGGTCATAATGTTCTCTATACCTCATCCCACTCTCTCATGGTATTTGTTACTCAGAGAAGAAATCTGAGTCCTGATTATTTCGATTCCTTTGAAGAAACCAAGTTACTTTTTTTGTTTAAGAGTAGGAGTCTTTCTATTTAAATTTAAAAATTTTCACCTAGACACTTCCTATTCTAGGTCTCACTTTATGAATTTTTTCCTTGCCCATGTTGAACTCTCAACCTCCAATTTTAGATTTCTTCTCAGACCTGGAAAGCATATTTTTAAGATAAAATTTTTAATCTTTCTTGTGATCCACCATTCCATTTTATGTTTTAAGGGGATCTCTAATTTGTAGATTGGAGTTCTATGATTTGTCCTCGCTTAAATTTCTGAGCTCTTCTAAATGTCTTTATTCATTTTACATTTGGGAATACTTCTGAAGTGAATCCTCTCCGTTACTGATTTGATTTTCACACTGTCAAATCTGTCTTTTCTTGCTTCTAGTACAAAACCTGCTGGATTTTTTCTTCTTTCTTCCGTGTCTTGAACCAAGTTTCCTTTTTAAATCTAAGTCTGTTCTTGTTGGGTGGTGGCAGTGTCCTCTCAAATTGTTTCTGGGGTCCCTACACCCCTGTGAGCTCCCAGGCCATGTCTGTGGCAATGCTGAGGACAAATGCAGGGTATGGCCCTCCTGGTGATGAAGAGGAGGTGCACCCCAGGTCACCAGAAGCCAAGAGAACCAGCGGGGCTAAGCAGGGCAGGATGTAGAAACATGTTCTCACAAAAACTCTGAAGATGAGAAGATGAGATACGATTGTCGCCGCCTGTCCCTATGTGGGCCTGACTCTCTTCACTACACTAAACTGGATGTGAATGGAGAGGGGGCCTCTGGAGAGCAAAGGGCCCTCTGTTCCCCTTCCTAATATTAATGCCTTACTTTGATTTACATTCAAGTGTCATTCTTCCTTAGATTTTGTGAGGTTGGAAGGTAATTGTCATTATTACCACAGAAAGGAAAACTGGAGTTCAAAGAAACTTAACTGAGAAGTGAGCCCTGGTCTCTGGATTCTTTTGTTGATGTCAGGAGTCACAGCAACTGGTGATGAAACAGAGCCCAGGCTCAGTGCCTCCCAGGAATGTCCTCACATCCTGTTGTGCAACTTTCCGAAGCCTCTAGGTGACTGTGGTGCCTTGTAGCTGTCCCGGGAGCCCTCAGCAGCAGTTGGAGTTGGTGCACAGGAGGGATGAGGAAGACCCGGCTCTGGGGGCTGCTGTGGATGCTCTTTGTCTCAGGTAAGACAAGGAAGAGGAGTGGGCAGGGAAGGCGTTTGGTCCAGGATCTCGGGGAGCCCTTTTCTGTTGAAGCTTCAGAACACAGGACCATCCAAGATAGAGCCACCCAATAGTTATGCCAGACTGTGCTGCTCTACCCAGAATCGGGAGAACGTGCAGTGTCTGCCCACAAAAGTAAAAGAAGGAGAGAGTCAGGGAAACAAGATGTCTGTGCATGTCGACATTGTCAGAGACAGGCAAAGTCTGGCATGGGAATAATGATAGAGTAGATCTCATCATGGCATGATCTAAAATGAGTTTATTTGATGTTGAAATCTTTTTCTTATATTCCATCATGATGTTGGATGTTATATTCCATTTGATGTTGACAGTCCGTTAAACCCAAAAGGCAGTATTGATTTAACAAATATTTCCCAGGGGTCTACTATGGGCCAGCAAATATACTACTGCTGAGGACACAGATGTGACCAGAAGAGGCTGGTGCTCATTTTGGTGGGGGCGATCATCCCAGCTCTCCATGGCACGCTGGGATTGGAGGGCACAGTTGCTGAGGCTCAGCAGAGCCAGCTCATGCCCCAGCTCTTCCATGTGTCTCCTCTTATGATCTGCACAGCTCATACCTGCACCCAAACCAGAAGCATGTGAGGCTTTATTCACTCCTCCTCCTAATCCTTATATTTAGGAGGAAGGATTATGATGTTTATGAATAACAGGAGGAAAGTGTCAATATGAGTTAAAAACGAGGCTTGCCTTAGGAAGGCATGAAAAATCAGGGAGAGGTATTCTCTTGGGCCCTCTACTTTGAGCAAAGTCATGGACAACTGCCTTGTAGAGTCCATGCTCAGATGTTGCTCTGGGGCTTCTTGGAGCTGGGGTGATAATCTAGATGGGCAGAAGGGAGTTAGGTCCTCATGGACAAGTGTATTTCCTCGTGTTTGATTCATGTTTTTCTGAAGGAGAACTGGGAGACAGCAGAGGGCTGAAGGTTATGTACTTGTGTGAGAGAAAACCAGTGGTATATATTTCATTGTGCCCTGTGGGGATAGGTGAGTGGTTAACCTGAATGCTCCTTGCAACTGGATGCTTATTTACGCTTGGGCCAGGACTGCTCTAATCCCTATCAGACTGTGTTGGGCCATGTAGCTCAGTGCTTTAGATGGAACCAGAGTCCTTGGGTTTGAATCCTGGCTCTAGCACTTAACTATGGTGAGACTTTGGGCAAATCACTTAATCTCTCTGTGCCTCAGTTTCCTTATCTATAAAATGGGGAGAATAATGGTGTCAACTTTTTACATTACAAAGATTAAATAAGATAGTCTTTGAAAACCCTTAGCACATAATACTTAATAGGTAGTATTTGCTATCCTTTTAATTAACATATTCAAAGGAATTCCCTTCTTGCAATGCTGCACAGACAGCTCAGCAGCCTTCGTTTCTTACTGTCTCCTTCCTTCTGCGAGAGACAGGCAAGTTTGCAAACTCAGTCACCTGTAGCTCCCACCTTCCCTGGGGAGCTGGCAAATAAAGGAGATTTATCTGTAACATTAACTTCAGAGGTTAGGGCTTCAGTGGTGACAACTTGAGGATGGAGTCTGTGTGTCTTCCAAAGAGCCCAGCACAGTGCCTGTGATAGAGAAGTTTCTCAGCCACAGTCTGATGAGTGAGTGAACAAATGAGGGAACCAGGCTTGGTTTCAGACAACACTCAGCCTCTGCTCAGCTGCCTCTTGGAGGGGCACTCCTGACCGGAGTTTGTGGGAGTTGCCCAGGAGGCCTGTTTGCAAGGTTTCCTTAGAAACTGGAGTCTGCTCCCAGAAGAACTGACTTTCAAGACTGGTTTCACCTTTAAAATCCTTGTGAGTCCCTGAGTGGAGTCTTCCTAAGGTCAGGCAGATCTGTTGGCCTATCCTGGGGTGGGCGTGCCAGGGGGCTCCATGAAAGGGGCAGTGCTTGTCATTTTTCACCAGGCCTGCAAGGACCTAAGTGTGTGGTATTAATAACAGCAGTACTAGTGTTACCTTGACCCTCACAGTAAACCCAGCAGCACTGTCCAGCCTATTATTTGGTGCTCCATGGGGGAAGGTACCCTAGGCCTGAGTGCGTAAGCTACAGTTTCTCAGCAACTTAGAGAGCCCCGGGTGTCCAGCTGAAACACGGACCTTGGTCTTCTAACTTCTGCTCTGCTTGGCCTCCCATCAGCAAGGCTCCCTTGGACAAGGCCAGATGAGCATTCCCAATTCTAGATGGTTAACCCGGTTCAGCCTCCAAGAATGTGGTGGAAACCACTGTCACTGTAACCCAGGGGTTCTCAAACCTGGCACTATTGACATTTGGGGTGGGATGATTCTTTGTTGTGGGGGCTGTCCTGTGCACTGTAGGATGCTTAGCCTGGTATCCACTAGATGTTAGTAGCACCCACCTCTCTCCCTGGTTATAACAACCAAAAATGTCTAGATATTGTCCAGGGTTTCAGGGAGAGTTGTGGCAGGGAGCAAAAATTGCTCCCCAGTGGAGAACCACTGCTGTGACTCTGTGACATCAAAAATAGGAGGGGACATTTCTTGGCTCAGGTAACTGGAAAGTACAAGGGGTGCTCCTCTGGAGCACAGCTGAGTCCATGACTCAGATAACGTGGGGTTTTTTTTTTTTTTTCTCTCTTTCTCTCTCTTCCCTCCACTCTCCCCTCTCTCCCTTCCTCTCACTCACTTTCTGCCTGTTTAGCCATTCTCAGGCAGCCTATTCCCACATGGAAGAAAGTTTCACATAATAAAGTTTCACATCTCACTGACCTGTGAATCCTAGCAAGAAGCATTTCTCTTAATGGCTACAGCAGTCTCAGGGAGGATTCTGATTGGTCCAGCTCAGCCACGTGCTCCTTCCTAAACCAATCAGCCTGGCAAGGCCCAGGCTGGAGTGCAGTGTTGTGATCTCAGCTCACTGTAACCTCCTCCTCCTGGGTTCAAGTGATTCTCCCACCTCAGCCTCCCATGTATCTGGGACTACAGGTGTGCACCAGCATGCCTGGCTAATTTTTTGTATTTTTAGTAGAGGCGGGGTTTCACCATGTTGGCCAGGCTGGTCTCAAACTCCTGACCTCAGGTGATCTGACCTCCTCATCCTCCCAAAGTGTGGGATTACAAGCGTGAGCTACCGCACCTGACCCCGAGATGGGGTACTTGGATTGGCAAAGCCTGTGTCCTGTGCCCATCCTTGAGAATGTGGGCAGCCCCAACAGTAGAGCCACACAGGATCGTTCCCTTGGAAAGGGGTGCTCTGCTACCCAAAGGGAGAAAGGAGTGGCAGGCAGTCAGATATCCATGCCCATCATGCCCTCCAGACAGCTTCCTCACTGTTTGTCCAAAGGTCTTTTGAACTGATGTCCTTGCCCTGACTTAGGTGAAGTTCCTCAAGCTGTCCTTGGAGCCACTCTCTTCTAGCACTGTGTCTTTGCATTCACTTTTTATGTCGTACACCCTTGTAATTGTTCCCTCCCACCACGCTGCAGCCACTTGTGGTCTTAGCACAATGTCCCATGTTCTGTCTCCAGTTGGGCAGTTTCTTCCTCTCAAAGTCAGTCTTCCTGTGATCATTTATGAAATTTGATCCTCATGCACCATATGAAGTCTCACTCTTATAGTAAAAAACCTACTCACAGTGGAAAGAGCTGAGGTCTAGTGCTGGCTTGCAGGGCAAGTTGTATTTTCTCTGGAGGCCTCAAGAACCTTGTCTGAAATATGGGTGTTTGGACAAGAAAAACAGGGGGCTCCTCTCCTTTTTCCCCACCCAGAGAGAGAAAAATAATTCCTCACAGAACCCAATTCTCTTTCCCTGCTTATAGAACTCCGAGCTACAACTGAATTAACTGAGGAAAAGTATGAATACAAAGAGGGGCAGACCCTGGAGGTAAAATGTGACTATGCACTAGAGAAGTATGCCAACAGCAGGAAAGCTTGGCAGAAAATGGAGGGAAAGATGCCCAAGATCCTGGCAAAAACAGAGAGGCCTTCAGAGAATTCCCATCCAGTCCAAGTTGGGAGGATCACACTAGAAGACTACCCTGATCATGGTTTACTGCAGGTCCAAATGACCAACCTTCAAGTGGAAGACTCTGGACTGTATCAGTGTGTGATCTACCAGCATCCCAAGGAATCTCACGTGCTGTTTAATCCCATCTGCTTGGTGGTGACCAAGGGTGAGTGGCCTGGGATTGGTGGGGACAGGAAGGCCAGGTGAGGAAAGGGACGGTGGTGGCAGCATCAGCAGAGCTGGGGTTCAGGATTCCTAGCAGGCTGTCTTCCTCCCAGAAGCTCCTTGTCTCTCATCTGAGGTCCAATAGTAAGTAGAACCTTCCATGTATGAGATTCTCCTTGAATTAGGCAAGAGCCAAATTAGGCAAAGCCTAATTTGGGGTGCTGTGGTAGGAATTGGGGTACAATTAAGGTGAGTGGTAGATTTGGGATAATTTAGTCCCATTCTTTGTTCTCCACTTAGAAGTCATGTCCTGACTCCCCTTCCCAAGGATGCATTTGGTGGCATGCCTGTGTACCTCTGAAGCAGCCCCTCTCAGATCTTTCTGTGGGCACAGACCACCTGGAGATTTTATTTCCAATGCAGACTCCAGCTGAATAGGTACAGGGTGGGACTCAAGAGTCTGCATCTCTATTGATCTCCCAGGTGATGCCAGTGCTGATAGTCCATGGCTCCCATTTTCGGGGAGCAAGATGGGAGAGCTCCAGAGCTCATACACAACTCTATCTCACTGGATAGGAGAGGCCGGTTTACTTACCTGTCCCCTATTAATTTCAGAACTGCTTGCGGGAAGCACCTGTGCCTTCCTGGGTTCTGCACCCTTAGCAAATAATGTAGTTTCTGACACAAAGTAGGCTCTCAGTAGATGTTACATTAAGGAATGAATTATAGAAGACAGAGGAAAGGGAGGCAGGTTCAAGTTCCCAGTTCCCAGAACCTGGGGAATTCTAAGCCTGAGGAAGACAAGGTGCATACATAATATATTAATAAAAGATAACTTTTAAAGCAATATGCCATAAGCCAGGTGAATGAAAGGCAGAGTGAATCAAGTAAGCCTGGAATTACTCTTGGAGAAGGTGGGGGCACATGAACTGGTGAAGAACAGAAGGCAAGTGCATTTCCAACAATACGAATGGCAAAAAATTCCTTTCTTCTTCTCTCTTTCTGCTCTCCCTCACTTCCTGCCCTTTTTTTCTTCTTTCCTTTTTTCAATCTCTGACTCAGGTTGACTCCACAGTATTTCTTTGGTTTTAGCAAAAGAAAACTTTGCATTTGGGCCATGCTTATTTCCCTCCTCAGCTTCATTTACCATACCACCTACCCGTCCATCAACTCATCCACCTTTTCATCCATACATCCATTCACCCACCCATCCACCCCTTCATCATTCATCTGTCCACCCATCCATCCAATGTGTCTTCTTGCAGGTTCTTCAGGTACCCCTGGTTCCAGTGAGAATTCTACCCAGAATGTGTATAGGACTCCTTCTACCACTGCTAAGGCCTTGGGCCCACGCTATACCAGCCCCAGAACCGTGACCCAAGCTCCACCCGAGTCAACTGTCGTTGTCTCCACTCCTGGCTCTGAAATCAACCTTACAAATGTGACAGATATCATCAGGTATGGTTTTCAGGCCCTGGGCCCCTGGTTTGGACACTGAGCCCTTTTTCCCCAGTCCGTGTGCTGAGAGGATGTGAAAGTGAGGGAAAGGGGAGGGTGGGGCAGGAGCTGACTTGAGTCACTTTAGTCTGGGTAGAAATGTCCAGGGGAAGAAGGAAGTGGTGATGGAGAATAGGGGAGGCTGTCAGCCAGGCTGTCCTTCTCCCCAGTTCACCTTCCTTGTTTCCTTGCAACCTGAGTATTAAGGAGAGGGAAATGGCATCTTCCCCAAATTCCAATGGAGCTCATCCAACTCTAGGGGTCTGATGGGTAGTGGGAAAGCACTCTGAGTGAGGGGCCCTGGATCTAGTGTTGGCCTGACTAACTGTGACTCTGGGTGAGTCAGAAACCCTCTCTGGCTTTAGCTTCCTTGACAGTTCAGTAGGCATGCTAGAAACCCAGAGCTGGAAGACATTGTCCACCTAACAGCTCTCAGCAGGAGCTGGAGCTGGGGCTAAATGCAGTATTGGTTTTTGCCTTATTGTTTTTTAAATAATATTGTTGCATGTGTCCAATTATAGATCAATAGAATTAGAATTTTTGCAGATGAGGTCCATCTCAGTATTTTTAATAAGATCTTTAGAAGACTTCTAATGTGTAGGCAAACTTAAGAACCACTAACTTAGCAATTTCACTCTTCTTTACAGTTATTACATGTTGATTTATATTAGAATGTGTTTATCATTAAATATTGAAATATCAGGGAGGAAATATTCTTTCACATTACCACTAGTCTAACATGGCTTTTTTCTCATATTCTCTTCTAGTCTTTATTTATGTTTATACATATTTTAATATGGCAGTAGGTCTAATTATACCTGTTTTTTTTCTTTTCCATGCTGAAATTATTCTTTGATGCTGCTACCTAAATTCCATAAATATAATTTCAATAAGTGCATATTTTTCTATCAATTGTGAAAGCCATAACTTACATAATCATTGGCCTGTTCTTAGACATTGATATAGTGTTGATAACTCTGAGATAAACATTTTCTTGCAGATGTATTTTTCTTCTTTTAAATAATTAACTCAAATGAAATTTCCATGAGATAATTTAAACACTGATATCATTTTGTATACAAATAGCATCTACCAATGGTCTTCCAAAAGATTGGAAACAATTTGCATTGTGATTCATTATGCATAAATAAAGCAGTGTCACTGCAGGCTTACAGACATGGATTTAGTCTTTTAAATCATTAAATAGTGTGAGTTAAATCACATTCCTGCTAAAATGAATGTGAACTGGTGCCTGCCCTAATTTCTCTATGAGTGTAGACTCCACCTCCATATGGGTAGTAGCAGTGCCTTTTTTCCCATTACATTGTTTGGAGAACAGAGTGTTCATTAAACCTTTGTGGAATAAATCAAACGAACGATCCACTAGGAGTCAATTCTTTTTTCTCTACTTTCATTTTGCAATACATAAGTGAAGAGTACATGACCTTTGCCCATATTCCTACTTTTACGGGAAGGAGGGCCTTAAGTGTAAGCTGTCCAGGTTCTGAGTCTTTTAAACAAAGAATTGGACAAGATGCACAGAGTAACAAAGGAATGAAGCAGTGAAAGCAGGAATTTATTTAAGCGAGAAAGTGCTCCCCAGGGTAGAAGTGGCCCTGAGCAAGCGGCTCAAGGGCCAGGTTACAAAGTTTTCTGGGTTTTAAGTACTCCACGTGAGGTTCCTCTCAGTTACCGTTATCTGTATAAAGCATTTGGTTTGTGGCTACCTAAAGGCTGAGGTGAATTGGCGCCCTCTGCGGATAAAGAGATGGTCGTTTGTGATTGGCACATGACCAATCCAAGGCACTGTCCCTTTCCATCTGAGACATGGTGGAAGGGGGAAGTCTGTGTGGAGAGTAGCCTTTGATCCTTTGCTGCTGGGGAATGGGGAGATGGGGTTTTTCCTTTTGGTTTAGCTTTAGAAAATTTGTGTTAATTGGCCTTTAGGTTCCCTGACGCCAGCACCAGGAGTTTTCCTTTTGATCCAGTTTTGGGAAATCAGCACGAATCTGTTCTAGATTCCTTGATCCCAGACCTTGGTGTTGCTCCTTGATTCAGCATGAATTGGCCTTATGTTTCTGTCTCCAGACCCTATTCTCCTGCCTCACTACTAGAGACTGCATCTCTCTTTTACCTGTTAACTTTATCGTCTAATATGAACTATCCTTTCAGCAAAAGTCCAGTCTGGAATCCACTGTAGCTGTTTGAAAAGAAGAAGTTTTTTTTTCTTTTCCTTCCTTCCTTCCTTCTTCCCTTCCCTTCCCTTCCCTTCCCTTCCCTTCCCTTCCCTTCCCTTCCCTTCCCTTCCCTCCCCTCCCCTCCCCTCCCCTCCCCTCCCTTCCCTTCCCTTCCCTTCCCTTCCTTTCTTTCTTTTTTTTGTTTGAGACAGGGTCTCACTCTGTCAACCAGGCTGGAGTGGAGTGGCGCAATCATGGCTCACTGTAGCCTCAACCTCCTCCCACCTTTGCCTCCCAAGTAGCTGGGACCACAGATGCATACCATCAGGACAGCTAATACTTTTTATTGTTTTTGTAGAGATGGGGGTCTCCCTGTGTTACCCAGGCTGATCTCGAATTCTTGGGATCAAGTGATCCTCCCACCTCGGCCTCCCAAAGTGCTGGGATTACAAGTGTGAACCACCACATCTAGCCAGGAAAAGAAGGAATTTAATGCAGGGAATTGTTTGCCCAGGTGATGGAAGAGCTGAGACACTAATTTGGCGATAGAGAGGCACTGCAGATGTAGCCACTATCACCTTATCTCTAGGTAGGTTCCCCAGAAGCAAGCCATAAAGTCTTGTTAAAATGTTTTAGGACTAGGCATCGTGGCTCACATTTATAATCCCAGGACTTTGGGAGGCTGAGGTGGGAGAATCACTTGAGCCCAGGAATTTGAGATTAGCCTGAGCAACTTAGCAAGACCCTGTCTTTACACAAAAATAAAAAAAATTGGCAGGGCATGGTGGCATGCACCCATGGTCCCAGCTACTTGGGAGGCTGAGGCACGAGGATCACTTGAGCCTGGAAGATCGAGGTTTCAGTGAGCTGTGATCAAGCCATCGTACTCCAGCCTGGGCAACAGAGCAAGATCCTGCTCTCTCTCTCTAAAAAGAAATGACAAAAAAAAATGTTTTAGGAAGTGATTTCTGGCAAAGCCATTGAGGAAGTGGGACCAGGAAGGGAAGGAAGGCAAGCAAGGTTGTCATAACCAAGGAGTATCTCACAGGATAACTCTGGCTCAGTCTTGTAAAGGAGCTCTGGGGACTCCTGAGTCACATTTGGAGTTGTCCCTGTAAGGGGCAGTAACTGAGCAAGGGCAGCTCTAACCAAGGCCAAACACATGAATTCCTGGGCCTTCAGGGGGTTAGTAGCTTGTGTGCAGCCTCGAAAGAAATGCAGGTGGTGGCCTGTTGGGAGTGGACATGCCCCGCGAGTTCAGCCTAGGAAATGGTACAGCACTCAGAGTGGATAAGGCAGAGCACTCGCAGGAGGGACTTGGGGAGGAGGTGCAGTGAGCAGGGCCCAGAAGCCAGGACATTCAGGTTGCAGCACTGGAGTCAGGGCAGATGCTGAGGATGCTGAGTGGGCCACAATCATGTGAGGGGTGAGAGAGATGCTGGCTCCCTGTGCCTTGCCGCCTGTCTCTCTGCCCCAACCCTGCCCCTGTCTCTGCCCCCTGTCCCCTACCAGTTGCTGAACTTGACCAGGCAGCCTTGAGAATGTAGTCCCCTGTGCTACAAGTCAGGGCCCTTGACTAGGGGTGGATTTCGGGCAAATAGGCAGTTTTCTGCTTTCTAGCTCCTTTATGCTGTTTTCCTCTTTGCTAGTTTGTGCATGTGGTTTTAAGTTTTGTATAGGTGGATGTGTTGATTTTAAATCAGTTGCTTTGCTTTATTCCTTAATGTGTCTTATTCTATTTCCTGGTGACTTTTCTTGGATTGTTTTTTAATTTTATTTAAATGTTTAATCCAGGGAGAAGATTTATTCTGCCACATGCTGTAAACTGTAGAAAAGGCTACTCCATTATCATGTTGCTGTCCAGATACTGCAAGACTATTTACTAAATGATCCTCCTGCCTCTCCAAGTAGCTGGGACCATGGGTGCATGCTACCATATCCGGCTTATCCACTGGACCTCTGATTTCCTTAGACGTTATGTTCCCACATGGCACTGGCTCTGCATCTGGCCTTTTTGTTCCATTGCCATCTGTCTGTCCCTGTTTCTTACCATGCCACATCCTTGTGTTCTCATCTGCTTGCATGTCTGCTGATGGAACTGGTCAAGTGCCCTCACTCCTTTGCATCTTTTTATTATGATACCTATTGATGTTTACCCAGAACCCTTAAAATCATTTCACCAAAATCTATAAAATTCATGATGAGATTTTCACTAGGGTTGGATTCTTCTCGGTTTATAGGTGAGGAAACTGAGCTAAAGAGGTGAGATGACTATCCCAGTAGGCAGGGGATGGTGCTGAGACTAGAGAGCGGGTTTCCTAGCTGGGGTTCCCTCTCCCTACCACATCACAAGGAGGAGGATGGGCTGATCAGCCTGACAGTCTCCCAACAGTGCCTCTCCTGGACAGGGATCTATACTCTCCACTGAATTATTTCTAATCAGTAGTTTTTGGCAGTGAGACAGACCGAAAAGCACAGGGTCAGGCAGTGTGGGAAAGGTGCAGCAAGGACCTAAGCAGAGGGGAGTGTGACATGAAGGCATTTTCTAGAGGGAACACATGCATGTGGGGGAGCCTTTACCAGCAGTAGCGTTCAGTCTCCTCTCTCCCGCAGGGTTCCTGTGTTCAATATTGTCATTATCGTGGCTGGTGGATTCCTGAGTAAGAGCCTGGTCTTCTCTGTCCTGTTTGCTGTCACGCTGAGGTCATTTGGACCCTAGACCCACGAACCCACGAGAACGTCCTCTGACTTCCAGCCATATCCATCTGGCAGTTGTGCCAAGGGAGGAGGGAGGAGGTAAAAGGCGGGGAGTTAATAACATGAATTAAATCTGTAATCACAGGCTACTTCTAAAGTCAGCATCTCACCTTCCTGCTCACTGCCCTCATTTCTCTAATAACCTTGGGTGGGCATTTCCACCTCAGAAAAGAAGTTACAGCCCCAAACATGCCTGGTCCTTCATTCCACCAGCCACTTGGGGTTTGCATGAAGTACAGACAGGTCAATGTTTTTCACTGTAATTCTCTTGTGGGGGCTGTGACGTGCAGAAGGCACACCTGATACTTCTGCTCAGTTTTGCCTTGTACCATACAATTTTGGCCTGACCTGGACAGAGCTCCCACTACAGAAGCATCCTGCTCGCCCTATGCTGGGACTTCCTCTTTCTAGCATCAGACACTTGGGTTTCATGCTTATATGTGGTTCTTTCCAACACTCCCAGGAAGATTGTGGAGCATGGAGAAATAAGACATCATGGTGAGAAAGTGCATCCTTCTCAGAGAAAAGAGTTAAACTGAGTATCTTGTCCTGAGGAAATACTGGCAGGCTGAGATGGGATCCATAGGAGAACATCAACAGACAGTGTCAGACATCCTGTGTGCATTTATCGCTGGAGCCTGAAAATAGCCCCATGAAGGCAGAAATGTATGTGACTGGAACGAGGCCACATGAGTAAGTCACCGCCCACTGGCAGGAGTGAAAACTGAAGAGCTCCTTACCTGAAGGACCCCAAAGCCATATGGAATAGAAAGACCAGGAGTTCTGCCTGTGTCTAAACGCCTCTTTCCTGTATCACACAAGGGGCAGGGATGGAGGGGTAAAAGCTCTCCCCACCGGGGAGGCTTCTGGAGGCTGTCCCCATGTGCTCCTCTAGTTCCCCACTCTGCCCTCCTCCTCCTCTCTCAGTCTGCTCCTGGAGCACCTGCTTCAGTTTCCATGCTCTCTCCAGTGCCCTCCTCTGTGAAGTAGGTAGGTGTTCAGGCCACCACGGAGAAAATCTCTGTGGGAGATTTTCTTGCAATCTCCCACAGATTTCAATCAGGATTTTGTTATTTCCCACCGTTCGAGATTCCCTTTAAGGGAAACGGGCCTCATGGATGGGGAAAGGATGGTGGGTCCTTCCAGCCCAATTTAGTGATGTCCAGGGCAGATATTATCCTCAATTCCCAAGAGCAATCACACTTTTCTACACACACAGTGTGTCTCATGTCAGGTAAATGTATTTTCACAATGAGCTCCACTCCTGTGGAAACAATTCTCTGCACGCGGAGGTCCAGCTCCCAGCCTGCTCCATCACATAGGGACTTCCCCATTCCTCTGAACGCTGCTCTGTCAGAACCTGCCCAGGTAACGGTAACGACCCTAGAGAGATGATTTCTGAACCCCAATTTTGGGCCCATTAGAAGATGTGTGGGGGGCATTTATTTCATCCTGATGCTCTGGTGACAATCTTTGCAGAGGCACTAGATCCGGAAGCTGTTAATCTCTGCATTTATTTTCTTACCTAAAAGAATCAAGCAGCTCAGAGGCAGTGACTGTGCAGGATGCAGTGTTTGTATGCTGAGCTTGCTGGTCTGGAACCTGCACTTTAGCAATCCCATTGTTGCTCCTGTTTATGAGGTTGACAAAGTGCCAGGGCAAGGGAGTATTATCATTAAATGCACTCCAGGAGAGGCGGAACACACGAGGGCGGTGTTTCTCAGAGGTCTTTAGACCACCTGCATCAGATTCTCCTGGAGCATAAAGCAAATGCTTAGAGTCCAGGGCCCCTGCAGATCTTCTGTATCCTAGTATACAGCTCCCTCTTAGTGAATCTCAAGCTTGTTTCCAAGAAGTCATTACAGTCCTTACGAAAGCCCATGACACTTTCCTAGAGATTCATCCAGATGTAACCCAGTGCGTGGTCCAGTGCATGCCTGTGTGCTTAACTTATTATAGATCAAGTGTTATTTAAGTCCAACATATCAAACGTGCCTGAAATACTATATGCATTAAATTGGAAGACAAATGGCCATACTGGATACTCTCCCATTTGCACTTACAGGCCACGCCATGCTCCATCCTCCCCATCCTGCCTGGGAACCTGACCAATGTGGCTAAACCAGCAGGCTCCTTGGCTGCCAGTTTCTGGCTGGTTGAACCAATGGGAAACATGAAAGAAGAGCCAAGGGTGGGGAGAGAGTCAGAACAGAGTTTCTGTCCTCAGGGCTCTCTCCCTGGGAGGTGGTGGCAGGAATGGCTGCCTTCCTCTCTGAAGGCTCCTTCAAGCCCCTCACCAAACAGTTCCCATCTCTGAGTCCAGCCACCTGCTCCATCTTCTCCTCTGTAGGCCCAGTGGTGGGAACGGCCCACCACTGTTGCCAGCCTCAGCATACTGAAGCACCCCTTACTGCATTCCCTAAATTCTATGCACATGTTTATTAAATACTCTTCAATTACCCAGTTTCAATGAGCCACCGGTGTCTTGCTTTTACCTTGACTGATACAATAGTGTTGTGTGGTTAATGACACAGACCTTGGAGGAAAACAATATCTGGGTTTGAATCCCTGCTCTGCATCCTTGCAGGGTGTCTGATCCTGGGTGACTCAGTTAACCTTCTGGGCCTCAATATTCCTCCTTGCCTTAATGGGCATGATGGTGCCTAACCATGCCAGTGATGATTCTGGACGCTAACAACAGAATCCAACTCTGGCTATCTAAAACAGCAAGGGAATTCTAGAGGGATATCAGTAACTCAGAGTTGATGAGAGGCTGGGGGATTGGGTTTGGAAAATGGGCAGAAGCCAAGAGAGAATGGACAGCAGAGGCCACACGAGACAGTCTGGCCATGTTGCCATCAATGCCACTGCCCCGGACACTGGAGGCCACCATGCTATTCCTAGACTCTGAATCCTAAAATTGCCTCCGAGTAAGTCATCTCCAACTGGCTCTGCATTTGTGTCTCATCTGCAGATCTGGGGTCCTGGGCAGAATCATGCATGTGGCCAGGCTTAGGTCAAGTCACGTGCCTGCAGCATAGCTGCCGGGAGGAGGGTGGGAGGAATAGCTGCTTCCGTCCTCAATAGAAGGGGAAGCAGGGCTCTGCATCTGTGTGAAACTCACACATTGGAGCCTGTACCCCCAAAAGTAAAAGGTGTTTGGTGCTGGAGAGTCACAAGATGACATGCCTCCATTATACCAGCTCCCAATGTTGACAGGATCCAAGGAGATGCCTGAGTAAAGCACCTGGCACACAGTAGGACTTCAATCCATGGTGGTTACTGCTATTACTGTTATAACTGTGGTCTCCATGCCTGTGCCTGGACAGGGTAGCTCAGGGAAGCCCATACCTGGTACTCAGGCAAAGGCCCTGAGCCCCCGAGACATGCTGCAGGGCCCATCTTACCTATATGCAGCTCTTGTAGACATGGTCAGCTTGGACTCTTTGCCTCAGAACCACCTAAGCTGTTGTTAAAATACAGATTCCTGGGCCCCTTCGCAGATCTGCCAAGTCAGAATGTCTGGGGGTGGAGCCTGGGTGTGTACGTGTGCTACACTTCCTGAGTAAAGCCACGTGCCTGTGCTTGGGAACCATGGGGCAGGCTGATATTAAAGAGGGCGGGTTCAGCAGAAAGGCTTGAACCCAGCCTTGCGGGGTGAACAGTATTTGTTTGCACAGTACCATTTCACAGGGAGACTGGGGTGCAGGCTTGTGGGTTGTAGGGGTCAGTGGTCAGTGATGAGGAGGTTGGTGGCCTGAGGGGGTGAGTGACGCAGTGGGGACCTCGGGTGAGTGGGTCTAGACTCACCATGGTGCAAAAAGGGAAGCAACTGAGTGTTCCTATCAGGACTGTGACATCATGATGGCAGGAAGGAAGCTGTCACAAGGGTGGCTAGCCTGCCTCTCTTCTGCATTTTCCTGAGCTGTTCCCCCAGTCACATTTCCTCCAAGGTTTCTCAACTGTAAAGTAACTGCCCAGCCTCGTGGGGAGATGGTGACCATGTATGTGGGGCAACATCCTGTAGCAAGTAGAAGAGGCCCTGGGCCAGCCGGCAGACAACACATCTAGGTGGCAGATAGAGTGGAGGGGGCAGGGCTCGGGGGGTGGCCCTGGTGGCTGCTGCTGCTGCTCCTGCTGCTGCTGGTGCAGGTAAGGAGAGTGGGTAAGCAGGCTGGGCAAGAGGGCACCAGGGAGAGGGATGTAGACAGCCCAGCAGAAGTGCCCACTAGTGGGAGTTTCCTCTCATATCTTTGGGATGGACTGGAATGGGGTCAGGTAATGTGGTACAGATGGGAAAGGGAAAGGAAGGCAATGCATGCAGACTGTGCTAGTCCACCCTGACTCAGGAGGGACTGGGAGATGAAATAGATGCTGGAGGTTCCTCTACTGCATCTTGAAGTTGAGAGAATTAGGTGGATCCAGCCAAGCAATTCCCCAGCACTGTGCTGATATCCTGGGAGATGTAAAGAAAAGCAAGGCAAAGTCTCCCCTTAAAAAAGCATGCACTCACTGTGCAGAGGAGGCATTAGTAGAGCATAAGGTAAATAACAGCAAAAAGACAGGTAGTAACATGAAAACCAAACTTCTGTTGAAGTCACTAGCAAGACAACGAAGGGAGTGTGGAGAAGAGGATAGGAGTTCTGGAATCAGACAGGGCTGGGGCAACAAATCCCATCTCAGCCACACTCTACGTATGTGACCTTGAGTAAGGTTTGTAACCTCTATTAGGCTCAGTTTCCTCATTTGTAAATGGAACTGACTCACAGGTATGTATTTGTAGGTGGCACCTACTTCAGAGAGTTGTCTTAATAATTAAACAGTGGATGGATGGAAAGCCCTTGGCTCAGTATTTAGGGCCTAATAAGTGCTTAAATTTTTTTTTTTTTTTTAGATGGAATCTCACTCTGTCACCAGGCTGGAGTGCACTGGCATGATCACGGCTCACCACAACCTCTGACTCCCTGGATCAAGCGATTCTCCTGCCTCAGCCTCCTGAGTAGCTGGGATTACAGGCATGTGCCACCATACCTAGCTAATTTTTGTATTTTTAGTAGAGACAGGGTTTCACCATGTTGGCCAGGATAGTCTCGCCTCGGCCTTCCAAAGTGCTGGGATTACAGGCATGAGCCACTGCCCCAGCCATGCTTAAATATTTTATGATGGGAGATGATGATGATGGAACCAGGTGTAGGGTGATCCGTGACATTGAGGGTGAAGAAGAGAGAGACTAGTGCCAGCTACAACTGTTCAGGTTGATTCCCCTCTGGGACCAAATGGGAATATCCCTTCCATTTGGGAGAAGAGAGAAGAGTGGGAAGAGCATGTGTCTTGGGGACACCCGGAGCTAATACAAAGAGTTGTGTGAGGCCAAGTGCTATGGCTCACACCTATAATCCCAACACTTTGGGAGACTGAGGTCCGAGGATGGCTTGAGCCCAGGAGTTCAAGACCAATCTGGGAAACATAGTGAGATCCATGTTTCTATAAAGAACAAAAAGTTAGCTGGGCATGGTGGCACACGCCTGTAGTCCCAGCTACTTGGTGGGGGCTGAGATGGGAGGATCACTTGAACCCAGGAGGTCAAGACTGCAGTGACTGCACCACTGCACTCCAGCCTGTGTGACAGAGCAAGACTCTGTCTCAAAAAACAAAGACAAAGACAAAAGAACTGTATACCAGAAAGCAAAAGGCATGCCTGGGCCACCACAAGTGGAATAGAAAATGGATGGTAAATCTGGTGAAGTTCTTTTGTACCTTTTTATGATGAACATTTTCCAGTCTACGAAATGTAGCAAGAGTAGTTACTGTCAATTCATCATCTAGATTCAAACTTCAACCATGATACATATTTGCCTCATTTGCTCCATACAGGTAGGAATCTTGCTGACATATTATACATACATATAATATTATATATATAAAATATCATATCATATATATAAAATATATCATATATATAATATATAATGTATATATGCAAACAGACACATATATGATTGCAGAACCTTTTAAAAATAATCACAGAAATACTTAATCACTCCTACATGCTTGACGGAGGAGCTAGGAATACTCTTCGTCTGTGGTCCTGTGTCTGTGTTGTGGTCTGAGACTGGGGATGCAGAGGTGAGGGAAGAAATCATGTTTGCTCAGCGAAGTGCTTGACTCTTCATTCCCGGATTCCAAGCTGTAGGTGACATGGAGGAGCAAATGTGCCTGCTAGAAGGACAGACTCTGACCGTGGTCTGTTCTTACATCATGAAATATGCCTCCAGCCTGAAGGCCTGGCAGTGGGGGTGGAGCCAGGTTCCCCTGGAGACTCTGGTTCTCATGGAGATAAGAAACAAAGACCTAAACTGGGCCTGGGCCAGGAGGCACCTGCTGGAGGGTTATCCCACGGAAGCCATGATCAGGGTCATGGTGATAGGGCTCTGGAGGCAGGACTTGAGGCTGTATCAGTGCATGACCCACCTGTCTCCTCAGGACCCCTTTGTTCTGCACTATCGGATTTGGCTGGTATTGGTGCAAAGGTGAGCAGCTGCAGGGCCCAGGTCAGCGAAGGGTCTCCTTAGGCACAGCCAATGAGCTGGACCCCATTTGCCCATTCATGAGGGGCTGTTTGGAGAGACAGCACAGAGCAATGGGAAAAGTTCCAGGCCTCAGATCAGGGGACCTGGGTCTTCCATTCTCTTGCTTTGTGACTTTTTTGAGAAAGTCAATAGCTTCTCTCTGGGCCTCCGTTTTCTCACCTGTAAGACAAGGATGTTGGACTAGGTGACATAAAAAATTATCTTACTCTGTGGCAGAGGGCTGCTAGAGAAACTGGTTAATTGAACATGTGCTATGAGCCAAGCACGTACCTTTTTAATCTCTTTACTCTGAAATAAGTGCTGCCGTCTTCACTGCAGAAGAGAAGACGCAAAGAGGTTAAGTTATTCACTATATCATTCTGCAGATAAGTGGTGCAGCTGTGACTTACAGGGATCCATCTGATTGCCTGGTGACTCAAGGAAATGGGCCCCATTTGGCCAATGAAAAGCTGTTCCTCTTCTCAGGGATTTCAATAGCAGTAGATGAGGCACAGTTATTAGAGAGGAAAATGAAGGACATTTTGGTGACCTTCAGTTGCTTCTCATTGGTGGAAACACTGCCAGTTCCCCCTCCTTTGTTAGCAAGCCTGCCTGCCTACATGGGGAGGCAGAACTGGGATGGTGGAGCTCAGTGGTTTTGCCTCAGGTTTTTCTATAAAACTCTTTTCAGGCTAGTGAATTTGAGAGGCCTCCATTAGCACAGGACATTACTCTTCTGCTATTTGAATATATGCTAATCTGAATATGTGAATATCAGGACAGGCTGGGGCTGAAGTTGAACTTCATAGCATCTGCAAATAAACAGTTGACCAAGCAAAGGGACAGAGCCATGGGCAGGATGGTTGGAATCTACTGAACCCATATAATAGAATACA